ATACAAACGAGAGATACAAATACATACATATCTTATTACATTAAACGAGCAATTCTTCTATATATATCTATAGGGTTCTCGGGAAACGGCTCTAACGATTTTGATGACATTCTGTACACAGATAATGTTTTGGATTTTAAGATTATCTGAATAGGCATTATTTCCGAAAAGACTCGCGTAAGGTTGCCAACTGTTCGAAATTAGTTACAAATTGATTAAAACATCATAGAATGGGCATCAAATGGAAGGCATTTTAAATATACAATATTCAAAAATATCTTTAATAGGGTTGCCACCACCTCTTTTGAATCGCATATTTATTTAATTTTTTGTTTAGAAAAAAAGGTACCAGGAGAAGGTTCTTAAACAATGGTTTCCCTATATACAAAATGTTATCCCTTAGGATAACAATGTAAGGTTGCCACTTATTTTCGATTCTACATATCTAAAAAAGATATTATTGAAAATTTTGATCAGAAAATATTTTCCATCATGGTTGCCACTCTTCTATGCAATACAAATTTTTATTTTGTTAATTTCAATCAGCATTTCTTTTAAGTATACACAGTACATATACGCTCAAGATATGTACCATTCATTCCAGCGTTCTTCGGAATAGGGTTGCCACCTAAATTTTGGAGTAAGAAATTTACTTAATAAATATCGAAATCCAAATTTTATCTTATTTTTCAAAATATTTTTTTAAAGCTGTCCAAATCTTGAAAACTTTAAAAAGTATATGCACTCCGGCAAAGCTCGGTCAACCTAGTGCTGTATATATAATTCGAAATCGAATTGGACACTTTAAAAATATTGATTTATAAGCTGAATTGGTTTTTGAACATTTGGCAATTAAAAAGCGTTTCATTCCGATATCTCACCGCATCGTTTAAAGTTATGTAGGACTAAGCGCCAATAAATACCCTTTGACCCGACTTTTTGAAAATTTTGATTTTTTACCCTTTTCCAAAATTATGCGCGACTTTTTCCTCTTTTCAGAGGTTTTCTAGGAAATGTTAACAGGACCATGCTTATAACAATTATTCCCCCTGTAAGAACGAAAAAATGCATCACTTAAAACTTTTAAAGGAAATTCAACTCTTCTCCTTGCAGCAACTAGATTTATTTGTATGTTTGCAACCCTTTTTTTGTGCATAGCTTGTGCCGATATTTTCTTTTTAAATTCAACAGATTTATTATTTTACTAGTAAAGAAAAGTGAAAATAATAGGGTGACACTTTTTTTGTCAATGACCCCCTTTTTGCGACTTTCTGAAAATTTCCAACGGCAACACTGGTCGTACAGACATATGCGGCTGCACACTGTAATATACCTTGAACCCATTCTTGCAAGGCATTATGGCCAAAAAAATTTTTTTTTTTTATAAAGTCTAAATTTGAAGATATCAGCCCGAAATTCGGTCAAGACACATATGTTTTATTAGAGTTCCGAGTTGACCTAGCAAATTTTGTTCGGTTCGAGGGACTATTTCATTTGACATTGCGTAAGTGGTATGTGGCAAATTTTACTTTCTTTCGCCAAATTTCCAATGGGCGACGCCACCTAAGATGTGGTCCACTCTAGCCATTGATAAGGCGGTGTTTAATTTAACTGATGTCCTACGTGCCATCTTGGATAAGGCTTGTCCGTCTCGTCCACCTCTTAGCCATACGTTGTTCCCTGGTCGAACTACGAATTTCATTGAATCGAGAAAACTTCCAAAATAAATTTGGATATGGACTGGGAATGCTATCGGCGCACGCACAGAGAGTATTAGAAGCTAATTCGCTTTGCGAAGAGGGCCTATTTCATAGAATACTACAGCGAGATTGAAACCTTGGGTCAAACGGCTAGGCTGGTAAAAGTTCTGAAGAAGGACCAATCCTCAAAGCTGAGTTCACTCAAGAGGCCTGATGGCTCTTTAACGGAGGCTAGGATGGTCTGTTCTTCTAGAAACTCACTTTACTGGAAATCAGGTGATGGTTACGCCTTCCTCTCCCTCGACTGGAGAGGGAAGGCATGCGAGAACCACGGTTTCGAGATAAAACTTCTTTGTTGCCAGAACTCTGACAGTTCCAAATCGCCCAGCCTGGATGGCATTCTACCTATTGTACTTAAAAAAGGTGTTGAGCTCTTGTTGACGACCTTGAAAAAGATTTTCACAGCGTTGCTTGCACTTGCTTACAAACAACAATCTTGGAGGCTGGTCGATGTCGCCTTTATACATAAGGTTGGTAAGGATGACTGTACTATACTAGCCCCAGAAGCTACAGGCCTATTGGCATGACATCCTTCATGCTTAAATGTTTGGAAAGATGGATAGAGAAATCCTGTGAGGCGGATTTGCAAAATCTGGTATGATGGAGCAGACTTTCTCTACAACACCTGGCGCTGTGCTGGATGCACTGCTGCACTTACCGTCACTTTGTGTCGTCATGCGTGGGGAAGCCTTGAAGGCCACCCGCAGACTAAAAAAAAAAAAAAAATGTTGGTATATAACACAGAGTGGGATGAGACGGAAATTTCTGGTGGCAGATATCTGAGCACTTGTGTCTTTTTGATTCACGCATTGTCGAGTCTTCACTGATGGCTACGAAACTAACTCTGGATCAGGATCTGGGGTCTTCATCAAATTCGTCAATCTTATTGTTTTCTACCTGGTTTCGGCAAAATAAAAAAAAACCTTTGTTTCGTTGCAACCTTAACGTGGAAAACGCGTAATTAAAGTCACTTTTATTTATCTAAAAAAACTTTAACTTATTTTGCTTTGCTCTTTTCTAAATACAGTTAATAGTTTTATTGAATTTTTGGTCACGATTTTATACCAACATAAGCATTTTCACTGCATAAAAACTATATAAAATAAACCCGGTCTATCCGGTTTTTTCTTAATTTCAAAATCGAGAACCGGTTTTTTTATTGCAATTTTTCGAATAACTCGGAAACCGGTTTTGGAAAAAATGTGAATAATCGAACACCCTAGTATAAACTAGAAAAATAATTGAAATTGTATGGTGCGACAGGTTGTTGTTGTTGTAACAGCATACAAATTCCCGAAAGAGTTTTGAGACTGATGCTGGAATGGGACAAGTACAAAGACTGGTGTAAAGCAATTATGTTTGAAGTAAAATTCGCCATATAAAAATGCTACTTATTTTCATTTTTTAATATTTTTCAATTGATTAATGAAATGTTGTCATTTAGCAAGAGTTTACTGCTGAAATGGAGATAATTAAGGAACTTTAAAATTTATGTCGTTTTCCTCTTTCCAGTTTAACAAACCACAAAAAGCTCTGAAAAAAACCTTGCGTATCTAGGTATTTACTCACCATTATTTACTTCCACACAAAAAATGACAGAACGAAAAAATGCCCAACATTTTAAAGAGCCAATACACAATTTTACATGATTTTCTTGCATACTAGCAGCAGTAAGCAAAGGTGGGAAAACAAATTTATAAAATTACTTAATTATTTTTTTAAGCATGAAATATTAGGGAAAACTTTACATACTCGTGTTTCCACGTCAAATTATTTAATAATAACCTTTTATCTAAATTTGTTTGCGCTGTTGCTTTGACCAGGTCTAGAAGCCTTAAAAAAGAACTTGCGCAAGTCTTAAAACCAAATTTTTTAATTGACATTGTCGGGCCCCAACCCAAAAAAACGTAAGCGGACATTTTCGAAGCCTACTTTTTTGATGCAGATATTCATCAAAAAGTAAATTATAAAAAAAAAAATTCGCTTGCATTATTTTCGCGTATAGGGCTCGATATGTTTTCATGTTCAATCAGAAAAAAAAAACAACTTATAAAAAGAGTATTGCAACATTCAGACAAACATTCTGTTAATTTTTTCTAAATCACTTCATAAGTACGTACACAAATATGGGCTTTATAATCTGCATACATAAATTGATCGTTGCAAAGTATGCATCCACTGCACATAGCAACCTACATACATACATACATTCATATGTACATAATCACCATTAATGACTCGTGTATTGCACGCATTGGCTCGCGCCACTTTGGCCAGCAACTGGGCAAAAGTCACGAAAAAAAAAACATTAACAATTAATTTTCGAATGAATACACCATTAAAACATTTATTTGAAATTTCTCAAACTTTCCCACACTCAAATTCAGCTGTCGCAGGGTGCTTAGCACACTGCAGCGCTAGCAAGAACACAAACACACAGCAACAAACAATTATGCCATTATCCTGAAGTAACGACAACAAAAAAATAACAAAGAAAAAAATCATATGAAGGCATTAACAATCTTCACTCGCGCACATTGCGTAGGAGGAGCGCATAAATGCAGCTGTAAAAAATGCAGCAGCAACAACATGGCAATCCAATAAATCGTAAAAGCAAACATAACGCACGAAAAGCCCTATAGATCCTCACTATTTATGTACATATATACATACATATGTACATATGTACATGTGTATGTATGCATTCTTATTTGCTGGCGAAGCAATGGATCGAAATACCAAAGCGTAAAATAGCAGCAGCTGCAAAATTTCAGATCCTTAAAAAGGAGCATGTGGCCAGCAGTATAACAGCAATGCTAGCAACAACAACGCACACATGCCGAACGGAAAGTGCTGTGTGAGAAACTCACTTTCGACTTGGTTCCCACGCCACGAGCCATAAGGCAGGTTTTTTTTGGTTTTTTTTTTGCTCTTCAACAACGTATTTTTTGTACGTCTCTTTGCAGCCAAGTGTCCTCGTTGTCATTCATTGCGGAGCAATATGTGCACACATAAATACTTGCTCATTAATATGCGCATACACATGTACTTGGCTGTTAATTCACTTTACACTCCATCGCATGAGGGTTGTTTGCTTGCTCTTTGCCATATCGATTGACTTTAGAAGCGCAAAAATAAATGCGAGCCACGCACTTTGTATCCTTGCTGCTAAGGGTTGATCGCGCTCTCGAGTATAAAAGCAAGCGCTCGGCAAGGATATGATAACATTTTCGTCCTAACCAACGAAACGTTAACAACCAGAAGCAATATAAAATGGCACAACAAAGTAAAACTGAAATTTATTTGAAAGTGAAGAAACCACTATTGGAGCGTCAACGACGTGCGCGTATCAATGACTGTCTGGAGTCATTGAAGAAACTCGTAGCCGAATTACAAGCTGATGATGCTGTTTTACGCATGGACAAAGCAGAGCTGCTCGAACAAACGCTTGTTTTTGTGCGACAACAATGCACACGCGGCAGCAGTAAGGCACAAAAAAGCGCAAACGTATCGATGGATGCATTCTGTTATGGTTACATGAATGCAGTAAACGAAGTGTCACGCGCGATGGCATCAACACCTGGCATGAGCATAGAATTGGGCAAATCAGTAATGACACATTTGGGCCGGAACTATAATCGTCTAGAACAGCAGCACGGGCTGCAACAACAACAACAGCGCCAACTATGCATAGCTCAACCGCAGCAACAAGTGGTGCATCAGCCGCTGAAAACTATACACATGCAGGCGCTAAGCATTGAGTGTGCACCATTGAGTCCAGCTTCTTCCGGCTATCACAGTGACGGCGAGAGTCCAGCTGCCTCACCTGTTGCACCATCAATTGCGCATACCGCCAGCCTCAATATATGGCGGCCCTGGTAAACGCCAGCAGAGACGCCGCTGTGCCGATAAGTAGATGGAGAGCACAACAGAGAAACTATGGTTCCTGCCACCAGCTGTGATACTAAGCTGTGATGTTTTATTAAAAAAAAAAACCCCCTAACCTAATTGACTTGTTGTTTTAAGCAGCATTTAAAATTTATATACATATGTACGTAATTTACAAACTACATAAAAGAAAATATATACACATTTATATACACATATATAACTAAATTACATACCTTTTATTTTTGACTACTGTTTTGGAAGCGTGTAACGAAAATTCTAACTTTAAATATTTTACTCACTGCACTTTCCTTGTTTTTAATTTATTGTTTTAAACAAATAAGCTAATGCAATTAACACAAATTATAGTTAAAATATTCTTGGCGCCGCTTCCGTCAATAACGGAGACTGAAGCTAGCTTCCGTTATTCAGTTGTCTATCCGCTGGCCATTGCTGCCAAATTTCAAACCAAAGGACGTTCTTTTTTTCTTTTCACAGCTTAATAAACACACCTCGATTGCAACCCTGCTATCTTGCAGGCTAGTTTGGCAGCACTGATTCATTACAAGTGACCAGCTTGACAAAAAGTGAAAGCCGTCAAATCGTTTGCTCCAGATTCCACATAAACATTTACGAATTTGTTATCTGGCCACTCTACGACTGTGTTAATTTTTTCGCGTCTGCGCTTTCGTTTTGTTGTCGTTATTCAATTTATTTGATTTGAATAAAGTGTAAAAACTGCCCCTTACATTCACTTTGCGGTAGATGTGAAAGAAATTTGTGGCGTGATTTGTATGCGCCAAAGAAATGTCTGTAAATATTACTGTGAATGGAAAATTTAAAGCATGCAGTAAGCCGAGCATTTTGGACGATCCCGTGCGCTTCAAGAAGCAGCTGGAATGTGAACTTAGAAAACAACGACTGCTTGAGGTAATTACTATTGCTATGCGTACAAAGAGGGTAAACTTTTAACGCATTTCCACTTAATCACCAGGTACGTGAAGAGTCGAAAAATTTGGCGCGTAAAATACGCAATGACGTTGCTGCCGAAAAGGAAAGGCAGCTGAGAAATTTAGAAGCTATTAAGGCAAAGGAATTTGAATGCTGGCGAGAGCATGTATTGGATCAGAAAAATAACGACTATCGGCAGGCAATTTTCCAAATTGGGGCCGCGCATCATGCAGCAAAGTTGGAGAACGAAGCCATGGCGGAGCGCAAGGTAAAGCGGGAGCAGCAACGGCAGCAGTTCAGAAAGAAGACAATTGAGCGGTTGGGCTTAAAGACACCGCAGACTGCGAAAAAAGTACTACAAGCAACTGGCACACAAACACCAAATGTACTCATGAAGGATACAAGAAAGAAAACTCCAAAGAAGAGAAAGCGAAAAAGTTGTGCAAAGGAACACACGTCAACATGCCATTGCTCGAGCGCTGAAAGCGAAACGGAAAGTGAAGAAAACAGCGAAGAAGAAGAGGAACATGCCACCAATGTTGGTAGCAGAAGTCCAACTACAAAATCGGTGATTATTTGTGCGTGTCCGAATGGGTTTAAGTGTCCTTGCAATAGCAGTTTTTCGAGCACATCGTCGACACTCTCAACTACACTGACTGATGAAGAGGAGCACACTAAGCCAGCTAACAAGCAACCTATGCTTAGCAGAAATCCAACTGTGCTAGTTGATATTGATGAGGATTGTAACGATTCGGTGATTATAACACCTGGTGAAATTAAAGACAAACACCCACAAAGTAATCGGCAATTCAGCCACGTTGTGCGCAATAATAGTCCTGAAAAGCCCAGGCGTTCTTCATTTAAAGATAGCACTGCAGCAATGGGTTCAGGGACTACCAGCGCCGCTGCATCAAAGGCGACCAAGAAACGTTTTACATTGGTTTCACAGCTCATTAACGCAAAAAGTGCCACCGGCGGATCGCAATCACGTTCACCACCAAGGCCGCCACGGCCACCGCCGCCATCAACAGCAGCTACATCAACGACTTCCACACAAAAATCGCCACGAAAAATTAGCACGTCTGGAAATGTTTCCAGAGAAATTGCAAATACGCTTTCAGGTGCCACAGTGACATTAGATAGTGCCAGCAAAAGTGATCAGAGAAAAAATGCTCGCGATGATAGCGTAGGACGTGTACATTCCTATGATTACAACAATAAGTATACGAGAGAATATCCACATCCCACAGAAGGACTAGTACACCAACCCAGTGTACGCGAACGAAGTCAGCCGAATGCAGTGCAGCAAGCGGAAATGGAACGAGAATTAGTGATGCAAAAGGGGCTGGAAAAAGACCGAATGCGGTAAGTGGACATAGTAGATAAGCTTATATAAAAAAAAAATAGAATAATAAAATAAAATAAATTTTTGATAAGATATTAAAGCTAAAATCCTTTGATCCACAGCGCGCGTTCAGAGGAGCGTGGACGCAAAGCACTCGAGCGCGAACAGGTTAGACGTGATTGCCAGGAGCTTACGAATAAACTGGATGCGCTAACTCAACAATACCCGCAGCTTTTGAATCAAGCAGATGTAAGTTATTGCATTGGGGAAACAAATATATTTTAAAGGCTCATTTAAATCTAATGTTGTAATTGTCTTGTAGTCCAACCTCCTCCAATGCCACCAATTACAAGCCAATCGAGCTGAGCGCCTCGAACATAAGCGCACTGCTGCCGTAGAAGAACTGCTTCTGCGCCCTGCAATAATCACCTGCCCAGAAATTGGGCAACAACAAACTCGGGTTGCAAGCCCACAGCGCATTGCCAGCGCCATCGCTGTTGCCAGTGACTTAAATTTAGGTGCACCAAGCGCATTTGATCAAATCAATAACACCGGCTCAACAGATAGCTGTGGATCAATAATACTCGGCTACGTTGATGAACAGCAGCAAAAAATACGCAATGATCTAAACAAATATGCTGGAACCCAGCCAAAACAAAATGCACAGAAAGCTGAACGCTTAAAATGTCTACTGCAACGAATTGAAGAACTGCGCAAAGCCTTGTGTGAGGAGCTGAACAAGAAAGGCAGCGATGAAAGCATGCAGCAGGTAATAAATGGCGTCAGTGATGTACGACGCGAACGCGAGCGTATACTTACAAACGGCGCCTTGGATGAGGAGGGAAGGCTATCACCAATACAAAAGCACATGCGCGATGTACAGCAAAAAGAAGCTGCGCTAGAGCAGAAACTACGCGAATTATGCAGAATGCAGAAGCAACAAGTAAATCCCGCAGCCAAAAGTGAAATGAAGGGCGAAGAAGGAGGTATTATAAAAAGTAAGTCAAAAATGGTTTAATGCGTATATATTATTTGTTTTTTTAATTCCAATACTTCTGTGCAGAGTCCGATGGAAAGGAATGTAGAGTCCTAGCGACGGGTAGTAAGCCATTAGAGATTATAATTAAATTAAGGAATGACGGCGGGCGCCACGGCAGACCAAAAGTGAAAAAGTCGGCGAAAAGTCCACGCAAACTTTCCTCGCTCATCCATACGCCAACACGCAGATTAGGGGCGAAGCGCTCAACGAGCAGTTTGCGCGAAAAATCGCAGCACAAGCAACAAGTAGTGTCTACAGCTGCCAAGCAGGGACAAGTCAATCGCCAAAACTCGTATGACTCGAACTCGACCTCCTATCGTAGTTTGCCATCACGCATTACCAATGAGGTGGGCGCTTTGGTCAATCATTTAGAATTAGATCAAGAGGAGATAGAGGCAGATGAGGAGGAGGGGATCGAAGATTACACGGTAGTGCCTCAAAATGAAACAGCTAAGGATTACAACGTCAAGCCTGCATCTGTTGGTGCAGCAAAATATACTGCACGCCCCGCAGCGTCAGCACAACGCATTACCCGAATAAACCCTCTTATAGCACACTATGTACAGCGTCTGTTGGGCATGTCGAGAAATTCCGTACGCGCACTAGGCGTCAGCTCTTCCGACATAGAGACACCTTCCTCTTCCATTATGAACGTCAGCTCGAATCGTACAGGTACTGCTGTGGATATGGCGGATTCACAGGAACGTCTACAGCGAGTGCAACGATTTATTGAAGATAATCGCAGTTTTATTAGTGATTTGGAAGATACATTGCGCTCGCAAAGTGATGTTACGCTGGAGACCAGCATACGCATTTTTGAAGAGGTTTGGCAGCAGCGCTTGCGTAAGGATATGCAAAGCAAGGGAGAAAAGTCGCTGAAAGAGCAACAAGCAAGGCAAGCGAAGGAGGCGCAACGGGGCTCAGAGCAGGGTATTACTGCTGATGATGGTGCAAGACGCTTTGCACAAGAGCGAGCAGACGCGAAAAGAAAAGACAGCCGTGGACGCCAGGAAGTATCGACGAAGACAAAAAATAGTTCACCGGATATGCGAAACAACACCGCTGTGGACAATGCAGCTAAATCATCAAGTCAGCAACAGCGAGCGTCTGTGGAGGCACGCGCACAGGCAGTAGCCAGTCAAGCGGCACCGCAGAAACAACATCAGCAAGTTAGAGAGGATGCGAACCGAATGCGCTTATCTGCGGAACGTGCTGCAGCTGATACGAGGGCTCAAATTAGAAAGCCACCTCTTGAGTCGCAGCAAATGCGTGACATTGCGGTTTCAACAGAAGAACATCGCGCTGAAGAACAGATCGCGCGCTATGCGCAGCTCACCGAGAATTGTACTCATCGTATCGCCGAACTGACCAAGCTCATACAAAAGGTGCGCACTGAGAAAAAACGTCTCATGGAAATCACACTGAGTTCGGTTAGTGAGGGGCGCAACTCAACTGAGTATATCGAACTGCCGGATGGCACGCGCCGTCGCTCGAATGCCTCGGCCACTGATAAGAATACAAGTGTCAGCAGCAGCGGAAGCAGCAGCGCCAGCCGTCAAAATGCGCTCACAACGCAGCCAACTACTACTGTGGATTACACGCCGCAAGGCGCATTTGAGCAACAAGCTGCCACTTCATCTGGTGAAATTTTATCAGCGCAAGACAGCGTTGCACCACTTGAAAAGCACAAGGCTACCGGCATTAGCCGTGACAGTGGCATCTCAATATCACGACCACTAACCGCGCAAGATGTGGAACCGCCTTCGCAGGCATCCGCCACCACCACTACACAACCCAGCACCCATGGCGCCACGCGCAAGAATCGTCCGCCGCCAACAATACAACGCTACAGCCCCAACTTTGCAGAAGATGATGTGGCGCACGAGCTGTCCACGATCTTGGAGGTGGACACGCCGGCAACTTCGCGCATTAACGCCACGGCAGCAGGATCAGCTACGGCAGCTTCTGAGGCGTCGCGCAGCAAGCGTTTGCAGCCGCAACATTTTCCTACTTTCGAAGAGTATGCGCGAGAAATGAATTTGGACGTTAGCCAACTAGATGCGGATACGAGCATGCGCATACATCAGGAGTTCGAGATGTTGATCGCTAGCCTACGCGCTGCCCAGGATGGCACGGGTGAGTAAAGTTAATTTAAAATATTTAAAATAGGCCGACGATATTTAATTACTTCTCTTCATTTCAGCACCCGACTATCGAGAATTTCCATCGCTGTCTGCCTATCTGCGCAACTTAAGCGTACATCGAGAAGGAGGCGAAGAAGATCAATCGCCCGAGACTATCGACGATCTTATAGCATGTCTGCGTGTAGCTAATCTCACCATTAAAGCTTTTCCCTCAAGACAAGAATACATGCGCCAAAAAAAGGCTGATTCGGCGAGCGGTGAGTTCCTCGACAGCGCCAGTCTTGAAAATATCACCGATTCACGCCCCAACACCAATACCGAAACCGAATCTGAATCAATTAACATCGAAGAAGAGCTGCGACGTCGCCAAATCCTACAACATTCATTCCGCACTGCCAATGCGAAAGAGCAGATTTTCTCCTCCACTGCGAGAGATGGCGCTGGACAAGCGCCTGCTCACTTACGTATTTTCACCACAGAAAGTGGTATTGAGAAGCTCACCTCCACTTCGGAAAACGGTTCTAGCGAATTTGAGCGTCAGTTATTTAGTTTGGGCATGAAATGGCCCGCAACAATGCGTGCGCGCACAAAGAAAGCCGAAGCGGCGGGCGGCAGCAACACCTCTTCCAGTCCCGAGCGCATTTTGCATGCTGGGGCTGTTGGCGCTGGTGCTGCAACAACAGAACAGCAGCGTTCGAGTCCGAAGAATACTACTAATGATGTGATCCGTAAGAGTCCAGCGCGTTTACCGGACACCACGTTGCGCGACACAAGCCCCAAGCGCATTCAGGCGGTCAGCTTGCAAGGAGGTGCTGCAAAGGAGGTGCAATTCGAGCAACACACTAAGACGCGTTCACCATCGCAAAGTCCAAAGCGACAGCAACCAAGAAGCAGTCCAATGCGTGACACAGGCGCTCCAACAACGGGAAATGTACCAGAGCAACAGCAAGCGAAAAGGAGCCCCGCAAAAGATGTGCCGCCTAATTCATCAGTAGTACATGACGCAGTCCGACTAAGCCAGTCGCGTCGTGCTGCACGTAGTTCAAGCGATTGCGAATTTCTTAGTGACTTTGGACGTCCGTTAAATTTGCGTGACTTTCTCACCAAAGAACTGCTCAAACATGCCACGTCTTCCAGTTCATCGACGCCTACAGATGATTCATTACGCAGTGCTTTCCTTCAATCCATCATTGAAACGATGACGCCACGTACTAATGCTGGCAGCAATCAATTGGACAGGCAAAAGACCTCAACACCAGTTACACACTCCGCACCCTCAGACCCCCACAGTAGTGGCAATCGAAGCGGTAGTAGTAGCGGCAATACGCATTCGCAACTCTTCTCTGGTGAAAGTTGTCTTTCCTCGGTGCGTTTATTTGAGCGCTCGATAACACGCAACTATCCACGGAATGCGTCATCGGCAGCAGCAGCAGCAGCAGCTGGGGAGCAGGAGCGAACAGTGACAAATGAGCAAACGAATCACAAAGAAAAATAATTTGCTGTAAGGGAGCGGGGGGCTTACAGTTAAGAATTTTAACGACTTTTAACGTTAGTGAGGGCTGTCCTGATGTTGTTACGACAAACACAATGGCGTTTCTTGAAAGCGTTTTATATGACTTCACGCAAGCGATTTGATTTTAAATGCCTTTATATAACTAATTTTAATTTTAGTTTAAAAATTTTACAAATTAACAATTATTCCTAAATGCATTAGCCAATTGTGCAACTTTTAAAAATAAACATACATATGTATACTATATAGACAATATATTTAAGTATAGCGATGATAAGTCACTTTGTTATTAATATGAATGCCTATTTGTTAAATATTTTATAACAATTGCATGTAGAATATATTTAAATAGCCTACTAAAGATTTTGTTAGACGCGAATATATTGCATATACATACATAGATACGATTATTTGATTTTTAATTAGTCCAATATGATTTGGTGTATTTTAGAAAGCAGTATTTTTAAAGGCATACACATTTATTGTTAAAAAATAAAGACAAACAGCAACTTGTAAGCAGCATGAAATTGGAAAATAAATCAAAATAAAATAATTACATCGTAGGAGCATTTTAGGTTAGATGGGGTTAAGCTGGTTGCCCGACGCAAGGGCATACTTATACCACTATTATCGGTCCTTTATGATGCCACTACAAACCTTAGCTGATAAGCTTAAGCGGAAAACACGCTGTATGCCGATAACAAATTTTCGCGGTTGACAGATGTCAATCCCGAAGCACTGTTGTTGTAACAGCATACAAACTCCCCAAAGACTTTTGGACAGTCCTTGGCCAGATATAAATCTGGGTCGTTCCGGTTACGTAGACCCGACTGTCCCGAAGCACTCGTCAGTACCAGTTCAAAAGGATCGCCCCCAAGCGGCTGCGACAGTGAGGATCCGGAGTGATGTTTATGCCAGTATTCAGTAAGCTGAATCTAGTCATAAATACAGACTTTGAGTGGTAAACTGTCTCACGTCTGTAGTCTAAAAAAATTTGTCTCTCTGAGCAGGTCACAGAAATAAAAATATTTTGTTCTAAACCAAAAAAAAAACAGGAACCCTAAACCTGGCGGTTCCGTATATTCTTTCAGCTGACTGCCTCTGTTTGTTTTCACCACATATTTTTGGCAAACTTTTTGTGGCTTTCCCTTACTTTCCTTTACCTATACATGTCTGGCTAGGAAACAATCAGGCAAAAGCGGACGAGAGGTCAAGCCTTCCCCAACCACCTTATAGTGCACCGAGACCGAACCCAAAGCCCTGGACCCGAATCGCGGCGTTCGCATCGAGTGATTACTCATTTCGAATCGAATCAAACAAAATGGCAGCTGCTCTCTCCACAATACATACAATTTAAATGGGCGAAGCATACTCGCTACCGAATGCCGCGATCTAATAATCATATTTCGATTCAAGTTACGTTCGATATCGAATGCCGCGGTTCGGGCCCTAATTTATTTTCCTAGGCGATATTGCGCAATTGAGCAGCCAAACGATTGCTAATTTAATGACAGCTATATGTGCCTGGAGAACACTAGATCAAGGAAGCCCAAATTTGAAATTGATAGAAAGCTCCATACAAAAGACCCCTCCATCAACCCTTCAGTCAAGGTTCGGCGCATCCGTGTAGAAGTTCATTGATGCATTCTCCTAACTTCCAATTTCCGTCTTACCATCCTAAGGCAGATGTGAGTGGAGAAAGAGCAAACTCGTGCCAGCCTAGCTGCGCAGTGATCCGTGATATCAGGCATAAAGCCGAAGTCTCAAGTAATACCATGGTTTCTGAGTTCTGAATCCATTAAGCACTCCGTGCCTCTAAATCTGGTCGCAACCCTTGTAGCAGCAGTGCCATACTAGAAGCGGTTCTAAGTGAATACTTCATTCCAATGACGCTCTTATCTAGTACATTCCACCAATCGAGAACTCCATAAAACATTATGGGCTGAACTGTGGTTTCACCTTAGTAGAAAGAGCCAATTTTTTACCAATTGCCCTCCTGCAGAAGTTGATTGTCTCTGATGATTTCTTCGCTCTCTCCTCAATATTAGGCTTCTACGTCAGCTTCCAGAGCCCAGAGAACCCAGGTGAATACTGTCAGATGGGGGGTTCGACGACAAGCGAGTCGTGGTCCACTACTCGAGGGCCAATTACGCAACAGCCTCTTCTCACCAGCAGCACCAGCAAGTTGTAGTAGCTTAACTAAGTCCGTTTCGACCACAGTCTCTCGAAAAGATCTGCGAATTGTTGCCGCAAGCACGCTATTAAAATCCCCTCTTATATCGAGGAGAGCAGAAAGGTAATTTAAAGTGTAAATCAGCCTTTTCATGAGTTTTATTTTCGTCCGAAAATTCGGGCGAATTTGTTTTGTTCGGACAAAACTCACAGGAATGATTACTTTGAAATGATTGGAAAAGATTTCAGAACTTTCGCCGGTCGGTCTTTGGTATAAACTTCAGCCCGACCACTTTCAAAGCCCTGATAGCAGATGGGCTACCCTGTGAACTACATATTAAAGGCAGCGAAGAGCTGATACGGTCATACGAATATGTACATGCTCGAGGTGCCGAGTGGTAAGAGATGCGTACTTCCACTAGGTAGGAATTTGGTTCGATTCCTGGTTGGTGCAACATTTTTAAGAAATTGGTTGTTAATATATTTAATGGACCTAACACACCTTATTTCATTTCCTTGATTTTATTTTATTTTTTAAGTTTTATTGTTTAAAATAAGCGGGTTAATCATTTAAGCAGGAGGTTTGGTTGAGCTGGCTGGCCAGTGGAGGGCTCACATTGACGAAAGGACGTCCGTAGTATCGACGAATACATTTACCAATAATGAGTCGTTTCTACACAAATCAGAGGGAATGTTAAAAAACAATGCCGTCGATTTAGCAAACTAGACACTAGACAGATGTAGAAACTTTGGCTCTTTGTCGATTGCTAATTGTAGGCCCAGTAGCCTAAGCGTAACCAAGTAGGGGCGTGGGGCTCGGGCAAACGGCTTTCGAATAGATAAAATTAGGTAGGTGAAAGTTTGTGAGTGAGCGAGTGTGTGAGCAAGGTTGTTGGTCTTTCACGGTAAAACGGCTGGAGGTATTTCACGGATGTTCGGCACACAGATAGGCTAAGGCTTGGATTAACAGCAATGTGGGTGTAACACGAGAAGGGGTTTCGAAACGATTTATTACGAAATTATCTTTAAAGGAGTATGCTACCTGCTAAAAAAAAAGTTAAAATCGATTCAGTTATGTATATGTTAAATAAAATATCACAACAATGTGGGTAACCAAACCTAGGGGATTCAAAAATGATGTATTTTTAAGGTATCCTTTAACAGAGTTGCCACCTATTCAAAAAGTTAAAATCGGTTTAATTGACTAGTTAAACGAAATATTTTATTATGGGTATCAAACGGGATAGGTTTAAGAAAGCTTTATTTCAAAAATACTTTTAAGAGATGCCACGTGTTCAAAAATTCAAAATCAATTTAATTAACAAGCTAAATGAAAACATTGAGACATCAAACTAGAGATGTTACGTAACTTTACAATATGTATGCAAAACGAACGAGATTTAAAAGCTTTATTAGTATTTAAAAGTAAAATCTCCTTTTTTAATAAGTTAAATAAAGTTTTGCAATATGGATGTCAATCGAAAGTGGTATAAGAAAGCATTATTTCGAACATTTTTTTTACGGAGGGCTGCCACCTGTTTCAAAGTCAAGTTAAATTTAATCAATAAGGTAAATGAAACATTAAAAAATAATGTCAAGTCAAACTAAAGATATATAAGAAGGCTTTATTTCGAAAATACTTTTGAAAGGGGTTGCCAACTGCTCAAAAGTCTAATTAAATTTAATCGTTTATTTTAATAAAATGTGACAATATAAATGTCAAACAAAACACGCTGAAAAAAGCTTCATTTCGAAAATATTTTTGAAAGGGGTTGCCAACTGCTCAAAAGTCTAATTAAATTTAATCGATTATTTTAATAAAATGTGGCAGTTTTTCAGTGCCAGTTTAAACTTAGATTACGTAAACTGAGTTTAAATTGAACAGCTGTCTGACGTTTGATTGGCTAATCTCAGTTCAAACCAGCCAGATCGGGCGTTTAAAATGAGTCTCAACCACGGCCGTGCACTGAAAAACTGGCCCCAAGAAAACAGTTTTAAGCGGGTGTTTAAAAAATCAAATTCAATATAAATGAGCATTTGTAAAATGGAGTATCTTTCGCTTTAACAGCAAAATTTTTTTTGAAATATAACAATGAGCTATTATATGACACAATAAGTGTTCATATATGTATACTTTTATTGAGACACATTAAAAAAAATGTTCACCTATAGAAATAATTAAAAAAAAAAAAATTGTTAAATAAAAGCAAGCTACGACACATTAACGCTGATCACTAACTGAAATAAAAATTTTTAATACTAAAACGTTGTTGTTAAAGGTTCCTTTTCAGCTATTTTGTTTCTAATAGAACAATGCTATAAGTATACTTGTTTAAATACGTACATATTTGTATTTTTATTTTATTCATTACAAAAAGTTATAAAAATACATCAAATATTTATTACACGCATACAAATTTACTATAGCAACCACACAAGATATATAGTAAAACTTAGTTTTAAAATTAAGTAAGATTTTTTTTTTTATTTAAAGTTCCCTTGTTAACAGTAAAAGGATTTTTGAGTAAGAAAGGAAGTTTTAGTGGAAATGCAAAATGCTTTCGATTTGATTTTTTATTTTAATTAAAAGCAATAATTTTTCGTATATTAAGTATGTGATTAGCATATACTTTTCAAACGTTTTTGGTAAATGTCTAATAATTATATAGACTTGCTTATATTTTGATTTTAAACTAAAAAATAGAGTTTTAAATAATTGTTCGACAACTCAATAACACAATTTTCCACATTAATTAAGTCAATATTCTTTTGATGAAAATAAAATGAAATTTATATAAAAACAGGCGATTAATTTCAGAAAAAGAAAAATTTAGTACACACTTGTTCTGAAAATATTCTAAAAATATACTCTTAAGTAACATGTTTCTTCTTTTGCTAAAAATGGCATATTTAATGCTGAATTTTATTTTCTATATAATATTCTAGTACCCACGTATGGACATATGTACATACATATGTATATATCTGTGTAAATAGTTTAAGTTCGTATATTTATAAAAAAAAAAAAATATTTACGTACGTACTTTCATATAAGCACCACTTAATAACTACTACTATAAAATTCTAGTACGCTTTGTTTTGTGTTGTAAATGATTGTGAAATTCGTTTTTGCAGCATCAATCAGGTGGGAGGTAGAGTAGGAGAATTCATTACGCGGAGGTTAACCGCAAATTTTTTGAGGTATTTTGTGTGTTGAGGCTTTTTGGTGTAGAAAAAATAAACATTACGAAGCAAACTCATTATAAGTATGTATTTCGAGTTCCTTTTAACGGTGGAGGGAATATTGTATAGCAGATTCTTTTTAACTAATTTCTCAGCAACGCCAAAATTTTCAAACTTTTTTTAAGTTTACAAAAAAGTAATTCGCAGGGCGCGTTTTTTAATTACAATGAAAAATATGTACATAATTAATGTTCGAAAAATCACTTTTAGAGCTACGATCATCGATTTTGACACGTTAAGAAAAAATATTTTGAAACAAATATGCTCATATTGATGACTCGGAAAAGCGTCTTTAGCTATTTTTTAAGAAAAAACACTTTTGTTATTTACAACTTTGACACAATTTTATAAAAAATCATCAAATTTTCATACAAATTTCAAACTGTTTAATCAAAATTTGTAGGAAAATTTCGAGCATACAGTTTTAATTTATTTAATTTTAGTATGACGTAGTTAAAAATTTTTCTGGTTGATTTTTAACATTTTTTTTAGCGTTACTGGAAAAAATGGGCAGATCGTCAGCACAAAAAAAAACATATTCGAAAATCTACGAGAAATTTGGGCCACCTCAAACTATACTAAAATTGTATAGGCTATGCAACTGCATACCCGAAAGTTTCCCAAATATTTTTATGAAAAATGTTGATTAAAATTGTGATGAATTTTTTGAAATTTTATACAAAGTTTAAAACTAATAATAATATGTATACGAAATTTCGCTGCATAAAAAATAGTGGCGGTAAGTATGTATATTTCTTGTTTCTTGTTAAAATTTCAATAAGTAAGTAGGACCTATGTACTAAAATTGATTCTAAATGACTGAATCCAATCATTTTCAATCTTGCATGAATCGGAATTTAGGCGCCAATAAAAAACTGCTAAACATTTTTTTTGTATGAAATTCTATTCAAATGTTAAAAGCAAAAAGAAATTATAAATTATGTCAGGGATGGGCAAGCTTGAGGACGCATGTAGATATAAATGCCATAATTGAATAAAACGACTCTAAATTTCGGAATTGTCAAACAAATTTATTTAATTTAATACCATGCATGTAAAGTGTAAAAAAAATTACCAGGTGCCCTTTGAAGATTTATCAGCGGTAATGGTTGCCCTGAAAATCTGATAGTTGCTTAAAACGACAATATTATGAATTGCAAGAGCTAGACACGGACAAGAAGGCAAAAAACATGCCCTTTTACAGGATTGAGTGTAACATCACACAATACATTTTGCACCGGGGAAGGGCATTCGATATGCCAGTGTATTTGTGGCACGCCACTGCACTATTTATTGATTTTTGTTTATATATTTGATATTTTTTTTGACACGAAATTACAAACACAGACTGCAATTCCATATAGTCAAGAATTTTAGCTGATCTCGAAATTATTTACAAATGCAAAGACTCCTAAACTTATACAACTTTCTTTGAAGTTTCATTTGCATTGTTAAATTTAGAAAGGCTCTGACTATTCTTTTGTTTTCAAAATCGATTCTTTTCAGACTTTGGTAGACGGATTTCTAATTAACCCGAAATTACCTTAAGAAGATTAAACAGCCAAAAGTAAGGAGTAACGTTGTGGAATATAATATTTTTTTGAGGACTCTACAAATTTATATAAAAACTAAAAATTTTGAAACTCCAAACCTTTTCCATAAAATTTTAGCCGTTCAGTCAATAGGTGTGTACTCGTATTTAGCGTAAACTCTGAGAATTTAGCAGCATTCGCTCTCAAAGAGACAAAATATCCACAGAGGTGCGAGAAGGCAAAACATGCAAAAACTTGCAGATTTCGAAACATCTGATCACTTCCACAGTTGTCAGCATTTATTTTCTACTTGGTACATTTTCCCTGATTTTGAATTTTTATACAATTGCATACTTTTGGAATCGAAAAACCGTTTAGATATCTACAAATGTACATTTAAAATTATAAAATTCTAATTTCAACAATCAACCTACCAAAACTGACAAATTCGGCCAACAAAATTTCAGCTTGCTGCATTTTTATCTATTTTGGTATATTTAAATGAAAATTATGGTACAAATGAAAAATGACATACGGCAACCATAGTCAGCACACACTAAAGTAAACAAACTGGAGTTCAATAGTAAATTAACTAAAAATAAACTCAACAAACCTTGTGCTTAATAACTTTACTCTCTTTTTCATTGTATACTAGCATTAATGATAAAATTTGCTATAAATAATTCAAAAAGGTCATATTTTCTTTTGTTTATTTACAAACATATGTTTGTGATCAGCTAATTTTCTGATTTGCAAGTTTTCGCTGGTAAAAATTTTTCCAGCAGAAATTTGCAGCTCTCTATCACATTTTGCTCTCTCAATTTCCCCTACTTTGCAAGTTTTTTGGGTACGAGAACTTAAAACCAGTAAAAGTTTTCTAAAACTTTAGATAGTTTTGCGTACGAGTACACTCCTAATGTCTTGAAAATATAGAGCTTGATTTTTTCAATTTAAGAAAGTTATTAATTTGCATTGCCTTCTGTAGCGGCATAAAATATAAAATATGTATATACATATTTATGTATTTTATAGAAAATATATCGCACACCGTATTCAAAAGAGTCACAACTTTAAATTTAGAATTTTTAAATTTATGCGCTAAAAATGTAGACAGCGCTTTTATTTACCTTTCAGCAAAAGGTGAAGCAAATTTTTGTTATAATTAGTTAAAAAATACCTAAGGTAAAGTCTTCTTTGCCCATATGATTATCAGATGCTAAGAAATAGTTTTTCGTATTTTCTGTAATTTTGAGTTTTGCCTCTTTTGAAGGCGGTGTGCGATTTGTGTATTGTTTTCCTGAGCCAAATATGTATCTAAAAAGAAATGGTAATTTTAGCATTTCGCATCACTTTGCACCATTTTTAGATGATTGACTGATGGTTTTTAAAAGTAACTACTAAAAAACGGCAGCTATGTATTTGAGTATAAGTATGGGCATTTGGCCGTAATAGGCAATAAAAAAAAATTCACCGTACACCTTCGAGTCTAAAGAAATTTTTCAAGGCAATTTAGAAATAAAATATTTTTGGCCGACATTCGGTTTAATTATTTTTGGCGACCTTTATTTCCCGAGATTAGGTTGCCGGTCAATGAACTCTGGAACAAACGGAGCTGTTTCCTGGAGACAAGAGATATGTCAAAAAATTTAAAAAGGCGACCCCTACGCTTGGCAAAAAAAAAAAAATCGAAATTGCCTTGAAAAAATACTTTAGATCCAAAGGTGTAAGCGATTTTTTCTGGTACGGTCTAACGGATATACATATGTATGTATATATTTATGTTTGAAATTTTTGGTAAACTTCTCCCGAAAATGTACCATTCGATTAAGGCAGTTTCACTTTTATAACCTACTCATTAACGATTTAATTTTTTAACATTTCAAACCAAAAATGTAGCTAACAAAAACAGCGCTACACCCTGCCTGCGTACATACATTCGATTGTTTTTCAAACTCTCACCTACTCTCCCCACCTCCCCCCGACCCACACGCTCACGCATGCTGCATGTTATGGTATGTCTCGCTGGCAATTTTCTTCAATGATTCTGCTTCGGCACCAGTAGCGTCTACCATCTGTCGTAAGGCACCACCCTGTTTCTTTAACAATAAATGCGGTATATCGAATTCTCGTGCGCGGCCATCATCCATAACGAGTATACGATCTGAATCCATGACGGTGTGCAGGCGATGTGCCACAGTCAACACAGTGCAGTGCTTGAATTTGGTACGTATGGTGGTTTGAATGAGGGCGTCAGTTCTAAGCAAGAATAGAGATAGAGAGAGGGAGAGCAGAGGTAAAATAAAGAAACGTCTTGCAAAAAAAAAAAGTTAAAAAATTTTTCTGAATACGCACTGTGGATCCACGTTGGCTGTAGCCTCATCCAGTACCAACACCTTGTTGTTGCGCAATATAGCGCGCGCCAAGCATAGCAACTGACGTTGGCCAACACTGAAATTGCTGCCGCGTTGGGTCACCATGTAATCCAAGCTCGGTGCGGCGCCTTTCAGTTCAACCTACATAAATAAATAAATCCACGGAAAGTTATTTAAAATAAAACGTTTCGTTATAAAAACGTTTCACTTACATCTTCTAGCGCGTGNTGTCACCATGTAATCCAAGCTCGGTGCGGCGCCTTTCAGTTCAACCTATATAAATAAATAAATCCACGGAAAGTTATTTAAAATAGGTTTGTTCGTCGAAAATCCAGCAAGAATTATCCAACACTCAAAATATCAGAGAGTAAGAAAAAATTCTCTCAAATTCTCTCTCATGTTGAGAAACTTGCAAATTTCTGCACGAACGCAAATTTGCAGGAATTTGCAAGTTTCGCTGCCAGCTGGCGTCCACGGTTGCATTTCAAACANGCCACAAATCAGCATCACCATACTTATCGAATGGATCCAAATTGTAACGTATGGTGGCGGAGAATAGTACGGGATCTTGTGGTATAATCGAAATCTTGGAACGCAGTGACTCTAGCGAAATACTGCCCGTCTCAATGCCATCGACAAGAATGTCACCCTCCAGATGCGAAAGTCGAAAGAGCGCCCCAATGAGTGAGCTCTTGCCGGCGCCAGTACGTCCCACCACGCCCACTTTCCAGCTTGGTTCGATGGTGATATTCAAGTGCTTCAGTACGGGTGGATTGCTGAGATCATAACGCAGTGACAAATCCTTAAATTCAACCTGTCCCTGTGTGGGCCAATCGCCCGGTGGCAGTTTTGTATTCTCAGACTCTTGTTCGAGATCAGTATATTGTAGTACACGCTCAACGCTGGTCATTTGCTGCAGCGATTCGGCCACTTGTCGAACGCCATATTGCACCATGCCAGTAAGAATCATAGCTTGTGAAATAGCCAGACCCACATTGCCGCTAAATGTATCTGAAAGTGACAGAATATGGAGTGTGTGTAAGTGAACTTATCAATTCAAATTTGAGTGCACTTACGACTGTCTACCAGCGTGAAACTGAACGTCACCGAGGCTAGGAAGCAGCAGCTGACACAGTCCAACCACAAGCCCAGCGCTGTATTTGAGGCCATTGTTAGCTGCCAAACAGCGCTGTGCACATCCTGCAGACCGTCAAACTCCTTCGCTACCACATCTTCCAGTTCACGCGCGCGTATCGTCGCAATGCCAGAGAGTGTAGCGGAGAGATGTGAGAATACGGGACTGCGACCTGCATGAGGTGAGAAAAATTTTAATAAAATTTTTTATTCAGAAATCTGCTACCACATATACAACACAAGCACACTCACATATGCCTTCCAAACGCTTGAGATCCTGTGATGGCCGCAAGTACAGCTGCAGCACCCAGTAATCAACCACAGCGACTATGAAGATAGATACCAACAGTATGGGATTGACGACAGTAATGACAATCAATATGCCAAACATGACTAATGCAATTTGTATGAAATCCATTATAGCCTTCGGTAGATATTCATCAATGGCGCCCATATCTTTGGAGAAGCGATTTAAAATTCGGCCGGACGGATTTGTATCAAAGAAACGCATTGTCGCACGCAGTATGCAGCCGAACATGCGATCGTGTAGCACTTTGGACGCATGCATGCAAACCTTGAAGAAGAGGTAGCCACGGAAGGTTGTCATCTGTATGGAGGAGAGAGAGAGAGGGAAGGGAAAGATTAGCAGTAAATCATGTTTATTATTTGAAAAAAAAAAATCTAGGAAAAAACGTGCCTAAAGTTAGAAGCAATTCAGAAACTCAACGTTTTTCAGGCTCTCAGCGCTCTATTACACTGTGCGACAGAAAATGTTACACACACAAAAAAATAATATATGAGCAAATCTTACGAGTTGTTCTTTTTTAGTGTCACTCCCTTCTCCTGCTAGAAAAAACTGGAGTTCCAGAACCAAGTCCAATAAAATCTAAATCAAGTATTTGAACAATTTTTGCCTTAAATCGTTTATTTAGGCGAAAAAGTGCCGAAATTACTAATTTTTCACTGTCACTCGAAAAAATTATATAATTTGGGAAGTTTTCAAAAAGAATGTTCATGCTAGAGGGAATGAAAGTTGGCATCACAAGCAACATACCAGTGAAGTTTCAAGAGTGTGCCACAAAATTAAAAACAAAAAAAAAGAATTTACATATATTATCAGAAGACGATGATTTGCGAAACAAATATTCCAATTTTTATTGACACTCGAAATTCATTCTAAAATTCTTATGTACATAAAGAAATTAATATATCGAGCCTTAACCACCAAAAAGACGTAAGCGACATTTTTTTTCAAAATTATTTTTTTAATGCAGGAACGCATCTAGATACTCTAGGAACATTTCTGCATCAGAAAGATAATAAACAAAAAAATGTTGCTTACGCCTTTTTTGTGGTTAGGGCTCGATATATGTATATTCGTCAAGAATACTGTAGAAAAATATTAAACGCCAATATTTAAATATTTTTAAAGCTCAATCCCGCTCAGCTATCACCCCTCTTCCTCTCCCTCGTTTCTTGGGTTTACCGTTAGTTACGCCTGACCGCAATGATTGATTGTCAAACCGACCTAGGCGGGGATCAACAACAACAACAACGAAACCTAGTTTTGTTTGGCAAAATACCAGGCCATGGAGAGACCGGTTTTAAATTATGCTGTACCTAAGTGGTTACTGGGTACTACAAATTAAAACGCAATGAATGAAGCATCAGTTGTTAGATCGCGGCAATTAGGTTTGCCACCCGAGGCCTTTCGATGTTGCCTGAGCATCTTTTAAACTTTCAAATGCTGCCACATTATGCTAGGCAAGTAGTTTTGCTGGGACCTTACCGCAGGCCCCTCTTTGAAGCCACGCTTCCTCTCGGGCTTTTCAGAAGTCATCTCATGGATCTTCAAGCACAGGTTCGGCCATACCTACGCATGCCAGAGCTCGAGTTGTCCCTCGTAAAACTGCTTTACTTTGACACAACTTCGCCCGTTTCCTGGATATACCCTTAGACAGGCTTGACGACTTGTTTTTTTTTGTGGATTTACCGGGTTAGACAGGATCTATTAGTTAAGTAGCTTCAAGGTGTAACCGTCAGCTTTGCTAACTAACAGAACTATTTTGCAAATTAGAGCACACCAAATGTTGGAAAATGGCGTCAGTACCAGATACTCGTGAAATTTGATGTGTAAAAATCTGTATCCCAAACGAGTCCCGAAATGGTCTCGAAAAATTCCTAGCCTAAACTAGCCCCCAAATCATCCCGAAAAAGTCCTCAACTAGCCTCGAAATAGACCCGCAAAAGGCCCGAAGTAGTGCCGAAATGAACTGGTTCCGAACTTGGCCCGAAAAAGTCCTGCATTGCTCCCAAACTAGTGCCGAAATCAACTGAGCCCGAACTAAAGCCAAAAAAGTCTTTAACTGGTCCCGAGCTTGTCCCGTACTATATAAAGGAGCAGTGGTGCTTGAACAGTTGATTAGCACAATTACAAAGTTTTTCTCGGTTTCACCAAAAGCAGTTAGAAATTTTCTCCTGGGCTTAACGCAAATTTTTCCTATTTCGAGAGCAAAGATGTTTACACATCAATACTAATATATTTTCTATCAATTAGGATCTGATTTGGTTCTGTCGCTTGATCTTGAATAACATCGTAGGTGATAGTTTTTTTTTTTTACCGAAAAATCCATGCATCAATCACCAAAGTTTTAAATTCATATTTCGCAGAAATTCTTACACAGTTTAAAGACTTTTGTCATCAACAGAACCGGCGTTCTTAATTTGTCTTACTTAATATTTATGTAGATATTATTTTCTATTAAACTTACCACAACAACAGCANTCATATTTCGCAGAAATTCTTACACAATTTAAAGACTTTTGTCATCAACAGAACCGGCGTTCTTAATTTGTCTTACATAATATTTATGTAGATATTATTTTCTATTAAACTTACCACAACAACAGCAATAATGAGTGCACCATATATGTACAAACACTCGAATGTTGTAAAAGTCGTTGGCTTACTGAGCGAACGCAAATATTCTTGTTGTGTCCAAATATTTACAAAATAATCAGAACCACTGCAAACCACCTGCGACATTAGCATGACAATTGTCATAAAGATCAAACCGCACAGGCTGCTACCAGCATGAAAGTATTCCCACCAAACACGACCAGAAACTCCACCCTTCGCCTGATCCTCAGCTATGCCCGAATCTTCGGAGAGATCCTGCTCCGAACTAATGGCCAGACTAGCCGATTTGCGTGTTAGGGAGCCATCATTAACACTGGTACGACGCAGCGATTGATAGCCATCACGCACACCATCAATATACGGTATATCCTCATCTTCGTAGCTACTCAGATCATGTGATAAGACCGATTCATTTTCACTTTCATCTTCCTTCTCCTTTATGCGTTCAAGTAGTTTAGCAAAATCTAAATCACTATTGGACAATTCTTCGTAGGTACCTTGACGTGAGATGCGACCATTTTCTAAAATTACAATCCAATCGGCTTCGGTAAGAAAGTGTACTTGATGGGTAATGAGAAGGCGCGTTGCTTTTTCGGTGGCCAAACGGCCACGTGGACCGATTACTTCGTCGAATAGATGACGACCAACGTGCGCATCCACAGCACTAAGTGGATCGTCGAGCAGATAAATGGAAGCGGGTTTGTAGACGGCACGTGCTAAGCTGGAAAGATATTAGGGAAATATAAAGAGATGGTGAGTATACAAATATACTTTTCTTTTTAAAACAACAAAATCTAAAAATTAAAAGAAAATTAAATTTAAAAGAAACAACAATACGTTGAAAAGGTAAAAAATAAATAAAATAAGTTCCTAAAAATTTAATGAAATTCAACATTTGGGTTTTAAACAAAACTAAGTGAAACTTAAAAAAATAGTTTTTTATAGCAATAAATTCTGAAAATTAAAAAAAAAGAAGAATAACAATAAGTCTCTAAAAATTAATTGAAAAATAAATAAAAAATTGTTTTATAAAATTAAAANCATAGCAATAAATTCTGAAAATTAAAAAAAAGAAGAATAACAATAAGTTTCTAAAAATTAATTGAAAAATAAATAAAAAATTGTTTTATAAAATTAAAAATTATTTAAATTAAAAAAAAGAAAAAAGAAGAAAAATATCCGCTGCCCAAGAAGTCAAACCTCGTATCTCTCGAACCAGTTAGTGGATCATTGGAAAGAATTTTTCACTGAAGGAGGACGTTGATGAACAAAGTGGAATATTTCGCAATACGTTTTTTGAGGTTAGTGATGTTTTATATTAACGTATTACTTTGCGTTATTGGCTGCTAATCTTTCATTTACAGCATTCATTATTTAAGCAGCAACAACAAAACATTTTTCAAATTTACTGGAAAAGATAATTGCATAGAACATTTACATATTTGTATTCGCAATGACAATCGCATATGTCATAGGTTGAAGGTTTTGTAAGCCATCTGCGAGATAAGCCATTAAAAAAATGCACCGACAAAGCGTAAAATATTTCATTTCAGTGCAATAAATGGTATTCCTCCGCGATGCGCCTTGAAAAACTAAATATGCAAAAGAGAAGAAACTTTATTCGCCGCATGCATATTTCAACCTTTGGAGACCTGAATTAAAAACTGCCCTAAATATTTTTATAAGTAGAAAATTTTAGTTCTGTGACAGGCTAAAAAGTCAGTGGTATACTAACATTTAATGGGCTATAAAACTGCATACCTAGATTTTTTTTAATTCTGAAAAAAAATTTGAAATTTTTATAAATCTCGTACAAAATTGGATATTTCGACTTACATACATAGATTTTGTTAGATACTAAACAATACTTTTATAATAAACATTAAGTTAAATAAGAAAAAAAAAAAAACAAAAATTGTTAGATTATCGCTTCTCTATTTATTTATATTTGGGAAAGGTATTTCACAACACGGCTGGTTTTTAAAAACAGAACACAAAGGTTTGAAATGTGACATACATATGTACATTAGACTGCATCTCCAAAAAAAGTTTCGGTTTTTCCGCCAGGATTACAAAATTTAGTATATTTTAAGACTTCAAAAAAAAAATTTCGAAAAATATTAAGATTAAGTGATCTGGACCGATTGGAAAATACCTCCCAAAATGGAGTTTTGTTATGAATAAAAATAGTTTCTTAAAGGATTTTTTTTCACGTCCCAATTTTTTCTTTATTAATTATTATTGCGATTCCGTTGAAAACTTTTTTTAAATATTTTTTTATGCAAATTTTTTAAGCTTAAACTGTTTTGTCACCTAAGGTGATTTTTTGCAAAAAATACTTAAAAAAACTGTTTTTATTCACAAAAAAATAAATTTTTGGAGGTATTTCAAATCGGCCCGCTCACGTAAACTTAATATTTTTCCGAAATATTTCGGTGAAAGTCTTAAAATATAATAGATTTTATAATTCCGGTGGAAAAACAGTACCGATTTTTTGTTTGTATGGGGAGTGATGCAGTCTAATGTACATACATAGACCATTCAAAGATAACATTTTACTACTTCATGGAATTTTTCTATTGAAATTAATTACACTTTTACCTAACGGCTATATCTGCGCCTCATAATCGTTTTGAAAATGCCACTCGAATGAATATATTAAAGGTCAACATCAACATCAACTTACCTGATACGTGCACGCTGTCCACCCGACAGTGATGCGCCACGTTCGCCCACAATCGTCTTGTCGCCATTGGCCAGCTGTTGGAAATCCGTAGTGAGTGCACAACACCTAGTCACCTCCTGATAGCGCTTGCGATCGTAAGTTTCGCCGAAGAGTATATTATTGCGTACAGTGCCGGTGAATAGCCATGGCTCCTGAGCGGCGTAAGAGAGTTCGCCTTGTATAACCACCTCGCCATCTGTGATTGGCAATTCGGCCAGCAGTAGCTGTAGTAACGAGCTCTAGAAAACGTAAATATATAAGTTTTAACACCATTCTTTCACTGAATTACAATCAAGTATTTAAACGCACCTTTCCCGCACCCACTGGCCCGATAACAGCACACAATTGTCCTCTCTTCATCTCCAAATTTATATTCTGCAATGTAAGCTGCGGCTTCGACAAATCCCAATTCGCATTCACTTGTTTGAGTACAATTGCTGTGGAGGCATCACGTTCATCTCCTTTAGGTTCGCCCTTCCTATGTGTCAGCCCGTTCACCTTCTCATCGTGTCCCTCTTGCAGTAGAAACGATTCAACACGCTTTAGCGATACTAATGCCTCGGCACCGAATGACACTGCGAGCGGATACCAAATAGCCGCAACCAATTGCAGTATATTGTAGTAACTTGCCGCTGAGAATACAATATCTGCTGAAATTTCACTGCCCATCAATACCGCCGATGCGATTGTGATGTAGAGTGTGGAACGTTCAGTGAACACCATCGTACTCAGGTAGAAGCCACGCAAATAGGAAGCATAACGAATTTGTTTGATCTCACGTCGGCGTGCTTCGCCCACCACAGCCTGGAAGGGTTTCTCCCAGGCGTACATTTTAATCACTTGTATTCCTTGAACCAATTCATTCATGATGCCAACGCGTGCATCGGTGCGTTCGGCGATTTTCATGCGCAATTTCGAAGACAACTTACTGAAGCCAGTTTGTACGGGAATGGTTTTAAGTAGAAGGCCTACAACACCCACAACGGCGGCCCAACCAATGCGCAACCAAATGAGATAACAAATTAGCATGGCATTCAATGGCATTATCCAGATCCAGTGCATGTATATAAAACCATAATCGAGGCGATTTACATCGTTAGAGAGCAGATTGATTAGATAGCCGGCGGGAGTTTGACCAGCTGAGCGCATCGAGAGGTGAAGCGTCTGAAAAAGAAAAGAATTGAAATATTGTTGTTAGTAAGACTAAAGAGATAACTAGGGCTTCTGGTAGCTTGGCTCTCGGTATGGGTAAAATATGCGTTAACCCAGCCGAACTATTTCGGGGTTAGTTCCTGCCTATTTTAGGATCATTTCGGGACTAGTTCGGAAATATTTCGGAACCTGTTGAGGACTTTTTCCGGACAATTTCGGGACCGGTTGAAGAACATTTCGGGACTAGTTCGGCATCATTTTGGGCCTAGTTGAGGACTAACAAGGGACCATTTTGGGACCGTTTCAGTAATTGTTTCGGGACAGGTTTACCACCTTTTCGATCGTTTCGGAACCTGTACAGGACAATTTCAGGACCATTTCGGAACTATTGCACACATATTTTGGGACTAGTTCTGGCAAATTCGAGTCTAGCTAAGGACTAGTGTATCTTTATTTCGGTGCTAGTTCAGGCCAGTTTCGGGACTAGTTCTGGCAAATTCGAGTCTAGCTAAGGACTAGTGTATCTTTATTTCGGTGCTAGTTCAGGCCAGTTTCGGGACTAGTTCTGGCAAATTCGAGTCTAGCTAAGGACTAGTGTATCTTTATTTCGGTGCTAGTTCAGGCCAGTTTCGGGACTAGTTCTGGCAAATTCGAGTCTAGCTAAGGACTAGTGTATCTTTATTTCGGTGCTAGTTCAGGCCAGCTTCGAGACTGGTTCGCGCCTATTTCAAGAACATTTAAGGACTAGTTTGGGATCATTTCGGGACGTGTCCGAAATCCTTTCGGGACAAGTTCACGACTTTTTCAGAACCTCTTGAGCAAAGTTTTGGGCGTATTTCGGTATAATTTAGGGCTAGTTCGAAACAAGGCATGAAATGATTCTGAAATAGTCTTGAATTAATCCGGAAGTGGTTATGAAAAAGTCGTGTACTGAGCCCGTCCAAATGAAAAGAAATGAAATAAAATTATATGTATGTTTGTATGTAACTGTGAAAACTTTGTAAATGATGAGATCTTAATCATTTATATGTAGATTAGGGTAGACCTTAATATCAAATGAAAGATTTTTTTTCAATCTCACCACCTCAATCGGTAATATCGAGGTCACAGATATCACATATAAATTTAGGTTCCAATTGGAGACGGTCAAGGCGTGTCGCACAGGGGCAAAGTACAGAGCCTCTTTCGACTCAAAAAGTTTAAAATATATTGTTTTTTTATTTAACACCCAAAATAGACACTACTAAAGTCGGGGTACCACATATAAATTTTGGTTCCGATTGGATTCGATTAAAACATCTTCAAAGGGTAATCTGAATTTTGACCTCTGTGCTACACGCCTTAATCGACTTCAATCGGGACCAAAATTTATATGTGATATATTTGACTATAGTAGGGGTTGATGATTTCAGTGATTCAAAGCAGTCCTCACGTGCTTACGTCGCTTACTTATTTGATTTAGATCCGATCATTTGGTCATGAGGAAATAACGGTTTTATTAAGTTGTTATATAAAAATTGAAGTCGATTTGTTTTTTGCTTAAAAATTACTTGTTTTTGCATACATTTTCTATACATTATTTTTCTTACATTGTTCAAGTTTTAACCAAGACCATATAAATCAAAGCTTCAAACTTTATACAAAATTTTGAAAAACTCAGCAAATTTTCATCAAGATTTCGAGCTTTTTAATCTGAATCTTTACAACATTTTACAGTACGCAGCTAATACAATTTTAATTTGGTGAAGTCCAGTTTCAAGCGGCCAAAAAAATTGCGTTCTTTTTTAATGATTTTCCTTTTTTTGCTGACGGATTTTTGCACTTTTTTTCATATAAGCATAAGTTTCTTATGCACTAAATGCGGCAGACCGCTGCAATAAAATTACAAAAAATCAACACACATCTTAGGATGTTCATAACGCATTTCATAGGACCAGGCGTTAATGTTTCATAGCGAAAAGTAATCGTAACGAACTTAAAGTTATGAAATAAAACCATGTTAACAACTATTTAGTCACAGAAGAGCCTTTTCAAAATCGCACTCACCTTCCTGTAGATCAGCGAGCAGCATGCAATACGCATGCGTGCTCCCATCAATCTCTGCCGCAAATCCACATGATGAATGAGGAAACATCCGATCCATGTAGATATGACCAGAATGGCGCTCAACCAATAAATATCATTTAATATGAATAAAAACGGATCTTCGATAGCTGTCAATTCAGCTGGCGTTGATGAATTATCGGCAAGCAAAAGTGGATTAGTAGCAGACTTTCCGGTGACACCAATCGTGTTAGAAGATGCTGGAATTATGAAAGGCTGTTATAAAACAAAGTGAATGCAAAAAAATCAAATGCTCCTATTGACGAGTAACAGCAATGCATGTGGCACGCAATCAATTTAGTCTAACCAACCAACCAATCAATTGATGATTGGCTAATTGGCATACAATTCAATAGACGCAAATGTGTGGCTTTGTCTAGTGATAACTCACGCCAGCAACAACTGTCGCTTGCTCTAATTCTGCCACAATATACAATATACATACATACATACATACATATGTAGTTGAAAGAAGAACAGAAAGAACATTTCAGTTACGGAATGAAGCATGTTCCTCATAGTTTCTAGCGCAGATGCAGTCATCAACGGAAAATTTATATACATTAGGGCGGGTACATTTTTTTTTTTACTAAGCGGGATGGCATTGGAGTATTCTACTGAAGTTCGAGCCAATTTGCTGAAAAACCATGGATCTAAAAACAATTTCGGGCTTGTCAAATTGCGGAAATTATTTTTTCTACAAAGCAATATTTAATATTTTTTTTTTAATTCGTGCATAATGGGTTTTTTGTATGAGAAATACATTTCTAGACTCAAATTTCTCTTAAAACAATCGCCAGAGGGCGCAGTAGTGGCAAATTTTAATATTTTATTGCCAATTCTGGCAACCATCTTGAAAGCTCTTTACTGTTTTTCGAAAGGCTAATTGAAAGATCTGCTAACAAGGAAGTCTTAGTGTTATGCTGTTCGGCTTTTAGCAATAAGTTCTTTATAAATTAAATTAAATTATAAATATTTTTCATTTCACAACACTAAAAATTAATTGAAATAAAAAATATATATATATTTTTTAATTTACAAAATCTACATTTTAATTAGAAAAAGAAAAAATTAAACTTCAAAATTGAATAAAAATTTATAAAATCTAAAAATTAAATTTAAAAAAAAAATTAAATCGAAAAAGAAAACAAGTAATTTTTAAGCAAAAATAAAACCGACTTCAATTCTCATATAAAAATTTAAGATTATCGTTAATTTCTTCATGATCCAATGAGCCGATAAATTAGTATAGGACCACCTTTGAGGTTACACCTTTCCTTTAAAGAAAAAGAATTATAGAAATGGGTCAACGTGGTCCAAAGTAATGCGGTAACATCTATTTAAAAAAATATCTAATCCGACGATCCTCCTTTTTTTTTGAAATCGATTAAAAATAGGTAGATAAAAACTAACAAAAAAATATTATTAAATAAAATAAAAAAAGAAAAAATTAATCAAATTAAAAAAGGAAAACATAAAAGTATTTTTCCTGAAAGCCATTAATTAAAAAAAGTATTTTTCTTTTGTAAATAATATAATCTAAAAATTTAAAGAAAATTAAACTAGAAATGAAAAAATTCATTTAAAAAAGGTTAAATTAAATATGTTCCTAAAAATCAAATTAAATTAAAAAATATTTTCTTAAAATTATAACATCTAAAAATTAAAAGTAAATTAAATTAATAATAAAATTAATTAAATTAAAGGAAAGGATTACATAAAACAAGTACCAAAAAATTAAATTAAATTAAAAAAATTAAATAAATACAAAAAATTCGCCGTCCGAGGAATCGAATTTGGATCTCCCGAATGGCACGCCCGTGCTCTGTTCACTCGGCCATTGCGACTGTTGGAGCGGCGCGTGCTTTCTTTCAAAATAGATTTTCACCACGAGTGGTAATGGAGAGAGCTTTTTTCTAAGACTCTTGTGCTAAATTAACAAAAGTCTTTCGAACTATCTTGCCATCTGTCTTTCATTTGTCTTACGAAAGACCTTTTACTATCTTAGCCAGAATTGCTCTGTCAGAATACTTCTATATCCTATCCGCATAGTTAAAAAAATCTTCAATGAAAATACAGCCACCCTAATGTACATATGTATGTACTATATTTACATTGGAGTATTTGTTTTTTGAAAGTGTAAGTGAACATTGTTTGCTCTCTACTAACTAAGCTTAGATATTTATTCAACTATAAACACTTACCACCGCCACTGCCCGCACCCACACCAATATCAGTGACCAACGATAACAATGACATATTTTTCATGGCGGCTGCCTCAATGGAACGCACTGTCCGACTTGTGGCATTTGCTATCACATCTTCTGTGCCCGTGGTGACATTCGTCATGCGAACTGAAGTGGGCGCATTTTGCTTTTGAAATTGCATCAGTAGTTGCGCTAGCACGGCTGGTATGAGTGATCTGCGAAATGCAAACAAAGAAATTGCATTGGAGTATCGCTATATGCCTGTAAATTATTGTGCGATGCAGCAATTCATTTGATTTCCTCCATAAACTTACTTAATTATGATGTAAATGAGCGATATGATGCCATCAACTACGGCGGGTAGCCAGAATGTGCGAAGTATTGCATTACGCAGCAGTGGTCTGCGTCCTTTGCGATGTGCGCGCTCCACTTCACTGTACCATTTGCTGATAGAATAAAGACGATAAAGATAATGATGGAGTCGGAATTTAACTTAATTTAAGAATGATTATTTTCGCTTGCCTTCACTTCTCAAATGTCATATGAATAATTAATTAATGCTGCTAATTTCTATCTGTCTTAAGAAAATATGTTTACTGCATTAATAGTTTTCGTTAGGACCAAGTTAATCTCCATGAAGTATCTGAATTCAGAGGCTCACAATTTTTATATGTATTTGTGGCTCATAAACAAGGATCAGGGTAACTTCCTTTAAGACAGAAAGACCTCGCTCGCAAGCATTATAGTGCCGCGTTCGGTCGAATGCGCAATGCATAGAGAGTTCTACTCCCAAGATGCCGTTACCATAATATATATACGCCGACGTGTACCATTGTAGTCTCGGTTTACTTGCCATACGATTTCATACTCCGACCTCCTTCGCGGAGGATTATGGACATCGTTCAGTATGCCGAGTCGAAAGGTTTGGGTCAAATAAAGGGTCTTTTTTGATGTTGCAGGAGTCATAAAAATTGTCCACTCCATGTTATCTACAAGATTGCTAACTATGAGGAAAGGAAGATAGCCTTATAACAAGGATGCCTGAGAGCGATTGAGGAATCGCTATTAACGGAAATGCTAGATCTCGATCATATCCTACCTAACGTGAATGATGTTTGGTATCAGGACAGCCTTTCAGGAAAGTTTGTGCAGAGAACAAAGGATCCGAAATAATGAATGAATAGTACGCGTTGCGGGGTATTACTTACAACTCTAGTCATTTCTTTCGCCTTGCTTAGAGGCGTAAACCTATGGTAAAAACCAGAGTAGAAACAAAGCCGAAGATGAAACTGAAATCGCTAGCGATTCGGCTGCAGCTTCGATTCCACACTGGTTTTAACCTAAGCCTTTTCACCAGAAAATGAGAAACGAATAAAAATCGCTCTAACCAAAACCGTAGCGTAACACTTGAAACGAAGCTGACAAGAGAGGCTCACATCAAACAGAAGGTAAATCGAGCGCTGAGAGTCTCCGGATAATGCGGCGAACTTTAAGTAAGACTTGTGGTCTGAGGCCGATCACGACATACATACGCTGCTGTAGGATCGAATAAGAAGCAATATTTTGGATTGTGTCACGACGATCGGAGTTCAGAGCACAGATATTTCTTTAGAAAGTTGACAAATCCCTACCCTTTTTTTTTGGTCCCTTATAACAAATTGATACTTGGAATGGCTTTTGGAAAGAAGAACACCCAGCTTTCCTACGAGAGAGCCATGGACAGACACAAGCACTTTCTTGGAAAACTCAGAACTGACAATGCTAATAAAGCTTCATGGCATCTGGGGGGTATCTCCATACACTGGGTCGCATGTACTGAATAATGACAAACTCAGGGCCCGTTGCAAATAACAATAGGCAGGATTATTCCATCCCCTTCAAGAGAAAAATCTTAACTGATAATGCTTATTTCTTTCTCTAACCCAACTATACGATGACCACATTGCCTCAGGTTCCAACAGCCTTACTCTTCTAACCAGGCACTAAACACTTAATTTCTTGATGGCGCGTATTTTTTAGTTTGAGTCTAAGTATTTCATATTTAATTTGTATGCAATTTTTTTTTCTTTCTTAGTATCTTTACTTACTTTTCTAAACGATCTCCTAAATCTTCTGAACAATCTTGTGGTAGGCACTGGGTTAAGTCATCGGTATTTAAACCTTGCTTGGACCCCTTATAGAGCAATGGTATGGCCCAAACAAAAAGTAATTGCGAAAATATATTGGCATGACGGCGAGGATTTAATTTTTCCGGCTTGCGTGAGCTGTCCATTTTGCGTCAATGATCACAGTATTGCTAAAGCTGTAATGAAAAGAAAAAAAAGTGAATAAAAACTGTAATTGATTCAACAATTTTATAATGAGCTCGAGGCCATTTTTAAATGAAAAATTTATTGTGGAAAATCAACAACAATTTGAAAAAATGGTAGAAGTGATAGCTATTTCGGAAATCACCACATTTCCTCATCAGACTTCTTTCAGTAGGATTCGAACCGACGATCCCACTGACTCAGCCAGTTGCCCATGCACCGCGCTAAGACGTCTTGTAAATTATCGTTTGCTTATTTTCCACTATTTTTCATTTTTGTTATGCCAACACAATCAAGCGCAGCTATAACAAATCAATTCACTTGATCATGTGGTTGTTGGT